GGTCCTCCTCCTGTCCCTGGCACGCACCGGATGTCTCTGCGTCCGTCCACTGCTCCTCTGCGTGCCCTTTGCCTTCTCCTCCTACGTCCTCTCTTCCTGCGCTTACCGACCCGGAGTCGGACTCTCTTCGCGCTGCCAGTCCTACTGTCACGCGTCTTCTTGCTACTGTCGTCACTGACCCCTCGTTTGAGTCCGCTGCTGCGTCTGCGCTTGTTGCTGAGCTCGTTGACTTTGCTGCTCGCTGTCGTCTAGACTACGCTGCCAGTCTTGTTGCTGAGTCTGCGTCTGTCTGTCCTCCGTCCGTCGGGGGTGAATGTGCTCTTGGCACGGACGTCCTTGAGGACAGGCAGGAGGAGTTCCAGTGTCTGGCTACTGCTTCACCTCATCTCGCGTCTGTACTGCTTGCCCCTGAGGGAGACCCGGATGCACTAGACATCCCGACTCCGTGCTCTTACGCGGAGGCCGTAGAGGGTCCCTACTCCTCTCAGTGGCAGGCAGCTATGGATGCAGAGATGGCTTCCTGGAAGTCCACAGGCACCTACGTTGACGCGGTTCCCCCTCTTGGGGCGAACATCGTCAGTGGCATGTGGATCTTCAGGGTGAAGCGGCCGCCGGGCTCTCCACCTGTCTTCAAGGCGCCGGTACGTCGCTCGTGGCTTCAGTCAGCGGCAGGGAGTTGACTACTTTCAGACCTTCTCTCCCACCCCGAAGATGACCACTCTTCGGGTGCTGCTGCACATAGTGCTGCACATAGCCGCTCAGCGCGACTACGAGCTTCACTCTCTTGACTTCAGCACAGCTTTCTTGCAGGGTAGCCTGCAGGAGGAGATCTGGCTGCGCCGTCCACCTGACTTCACTGGGACTTTCCCTCCTGGCACCCAGTGGAGCCTCCGACGGCCAGTCTACGGTCTCCGCCAGGCACCGCGCGAGTGGCACGACACACTGAGGACTACGCTTGCGGCTCTTGGGTTTGCTCCCTCTACTGCTGACCCTTCGCTGTTTCTGCGCACTGACACTTCTCTGCCGCCGTTCTACATCCTCGTGTACGTCGACGACTTGGTCTTTGCCACAGCGGACACTGCTGGACTTGCCTACGTGAAGTCCGAGCTGCTGAAGAGACACACGTGCACAGACCTGGGTGAACTGCGCAGCTATCTTGGCTTGCAGATCACTCGGGACAGAGCACGCCGCACCATTACCTTGACTCAGTCACACATGGTGTGCAGCAGGTCCTTCAGCGCTTCGGCTTCACGTACTCCTCGCCTCAGGCCACTCCTCTGTCTACTCGCCACTCGCTCTCAGCTCTGCCTTCGGATGAGTCCGTAGAGTCGAGTGGCCCGTACCCAGAGCTTGTTGGCTGCCTCATGTACCTGATGACCTGCACACGACCTGACCTTGCATACCCTCTTAGCATTCTTGCACGCTATGTTGCTCCTGGGAGACACGGACCAGAGCACATGGCTGCAGCGAAGAGGGTGTTGCGCTACGTGTGCAGTACGTCGGGCATGGGGCTAGTGCTTGGAGGGCGGAGTCCAGTGGTCCTTACGGGCACGCGGACGCTTCTTGGGCTGACGACCAGGCTACGCAGCGGTCGTCACAGGGTTACACCTTCAGTCTTGGTTCCGGCTCTGTCTCGTGGCGGGCTACTCGCTCGTCTTCTGTCCTCAGCTCCAGTTGTGAGGCTGAGATCTATGCGGGGGCCATGGCTGCACAGGAGCTTCGCTGGCTCACCTACCTGCTGACTGACCTTGGAGAGCCGCCTCGTTCTCCTCTAGTGCTGTACGTAGACAGCAAGGCCATGCTGGCCTTGTGTCGAGAGCAGCGCCTGGAAAACAGAACGAAGCACATTGCTCTCCGCTACTTCCTTGCTCGTGAGCTACAGCAGCGTGGACAGTTGCGGCTTGCGTACGTGGCCTCTGAGGCCAACACTGCTGACGTGTTCACCAAGGCACTCGCGCCTTGTGACCATCAGCGCTTCTGCACTCAGCTGGGTCTTGTACCTGTCTTGCCTCTCTTGCTCTCCTCTTGACCTTGCTTGTACTGTCACATATATATACCTGCTCTTGCTTGTCTAGCTCTATATATATATGTGTGTACTCCTGCATGTGAATTGGCCTTGTGGCCTTGTCGTTGTGCTCGGACTGTGTGGTGACTTTGTGATCCACCTGAGCTTGCTCTGTTTTGCTTGACTGGTCTTGTGACCCCTTGTTCTCCCCCACTTTGCCTATGGGGTGTGTCAGAACGTTATATAGCTTATGCTGTTGTGTAGGCTATAGTGGGGTATCCCATAGGGGGTACAACCCAATTAGGGTATCCTATATGTACTCACTTCATTCATAGTTCATTCATTCTTGTTCTATTCTTCTCACACTCAGCGACAGGTAAACCGAAACATGGCAAACACAAAACGATCGACAGGAAACGTACACAACGCCCGCGTTCATCATCCTCTCATCGAGCTCTGCTTTTGGCGCCTCGCTAACCGCATTCAACTGGTCTTCGAACACCTCCACCTCGATCCCACTTGCGATTAGCATGAGGCCGCGTCGAACCAACGGCTCGTTCATGACGGGTACGGAGGCGGGGCCCATAGCCATGGCGCAGCAACAAAACTAGGAAATAGGAAGAAAAAAACTCAAAGACAGCAACAAAATGAGAACGCACTCAGGGTATTAGCTGTTTGCCATCCCCCCCATCGAGACATTCTCGGGTGTAAGGGCGACGAGGCAGGGCGCGTTCTGCGACGGCGGGAGGAGGAGCTTTTCGTAGAGGGCGGCGGAGCCCTATTGGCCTCGACGTGAAATTTGGTGGTTGGTTGCATGAGGTGGGGCGCCTTGCATGCAGCTGAAAGGCCCCTTCCGTGGAGCGGTAGGGGGTGTTCGACACGTCACAAGGGTCGATCGCCAAACGAAACGGGCCCGTCGAGGGCGAAAGCGAGAGCGCGAAGCAGATGGGTCGCTTGAGCGTCGACGCGACAGTTGGGGGTCGCTTCCGTTAGCTCACGGAAACTTTCGCGGAGGGTTCCGTCGGCGAGGGTTCCGTGGGTTACGGACGGAACCCGTCAACGAACTGAGAGTGGGGCTTGGTTCGGTTGGGGGGGACCACTGCCAGCCCGAGGGCACGGATCGCTGGCGTCATCGGCAGCTGGCGCCTGCTGGGGTTGCCCGTTTTCGGGCGGGGCGGGGGGGGGGGGGGGGGGGGGTTGGCTCCCGCCCTCGCGTGCACCGCTAGGCGACTGCGGGAAAAGCGAAATCCCTCCAGGGAAAACCCGCAGGGGCAAAAGCGGGTTCCCGGAGGGATGTGACTGATACACCAAGTCCGCGGTTATTTTAACCACCCGAACTTTTTTGTTTCAAACATCCTGAGTGCATTTTAGTTCAATGGAATGGGCACCCAGAGAATTCAAGGCTATTAGAATACACCCTAGAAGTTTTCCATTTGACAAAACCCACACTTAGTGCTCCGAGATAGGGGGCGCATTGGCATTAACAGAGTTGCAACTTCCGTGATCTCGCGAAGGGTACGCTTAACTATACCCTTATAAAATTTTAAACTACCCTTGTATTCAATATTGACCATGGAGTAGTACCCCCGCGTGGTTAAGATAGCGATGGTTAAAATAACGCGGACTAGGTGTATCTTCCCTGAAATAAGAATACTAGGTGTACCTGACATTAACGGTTTCCGATATTGCATTCTTCGAATGAAGGTTTTACTTTCCAGTAGAAGCAGTTGGGTTCACACCACGTGTATGGTGATCGATCACACCAAAACCCAGTTCCCCATGCCCCGCCATACATACCCATCACTTGTCAGAACGGCTATAGATAGCTGCTAAATTTCTCAGGTTACCGCAAAGCTTTCACAATGCGACTTCTAGCGGGCATGGGCCGTATTCTGCCGAGTGTTAGAGCGGACCTTGAATAGGCGTAATCTAGGAGCGGCAAATGGGGAGTGCATGAAAGCCGCGAACGTAGCGAAAGTCGCGAACGTAGTCGCGAACTTAGGGAGAGTCGCGAGCGTGACGAGAGTAGCGGACGTAGTAGCGAGTGTGCGAGGCTATTCCATCCCACGCACTCTCAAGCCGACCCTGAACCCTGCGAGACTCATTCAAACCCCGCAAAAACCCGTTTGAACCGCACAGACTATACTGAGATAGCAGTCATGGTGGTTTGTAGCTGACCTGAACCCTGGCCTACACCCCGAGCACTTTGGGCACGTGATCAAGGCCGTTCCCTAACCCTTATTGTTGAGTGAGCAACCGTGTGTGCACGGTTAAGGTGGGGCAAGCGCGGCATCAGACGGCATGTTTTGAGACGCCTCAAAACTCGCTAGTTCCTAACCCTGATTGTTGAGTGAGCAAACCGTGTGTGTAAGGTTAAGGTGAGGCAACCGCGGCATCAGGCGGCATGGCGGCCGGGCGGGTTGTGAAGGATGAACCTGAGGAGGATGATTGGAGAGCTGGGGAGGGGGGGAGTGAGGAGGAGAGTGAGGAGGGGAGTGAGGAGGAGAGTGAGGAGGGGAGTGAGGAGGAGAGTGAGGAGGAAAGTGAGGAGGAAAATGAGAAGGAGCGTGAGGAGGAAATTGATGAGGAGAATGCGGAGGAGAGCGAGGAGGTGGAGAGGGAGGACGAGGAGGAGGAAAGTGACGAGGAGACCGAGGAAGAAAATGAGGAGAAGAATGTGGAGGAGAAGAAGATTGTAGAGGAGAAAACTGAGGAAATAATTGAGAAGGATGAAGTGAACGAGGAGGAGGAAGGTGAGGAAGAGGAGAGGAGAAGGAGGGAGAGGAGGAGGAGGAGGAGGAGGGAGAGGGGGAGGAGGGAGAGAGGGAGGAGGGAGAGGAGGAGGAGGGAGACGAGGGGGATGAGGGAGAGGAGGAGGAGGGAGAGGAGGAGGAGAAGGAAGAGGAGGAGGAGGAAGGGGAGGAGGATAATGAAGAGGAGGAAGATGATGAGGAGAAGGAGGAGGAGGAGAAGGGGAGGAGAAGGGGGAGGAGAAGGAAGGGGAAGAGGAGGAGGAGGAGGAGGAGGAGGAGGAGGAGGAGGAGGAGGAGGAGGAGGAGGAGGAGGAGGAGGAGGAGGAGGAGGAGGAGGAGGAGGAGGAGGGAGTGGAAGGAGGGCGAGTGGAGGAACAGCAGAAGGATTCACCTCCGTCACAGAAAGGTGTGGCACGGCGAGCGAATTGCTGGGCAAATTCCCCTGTTTGAAGGTTCAGGGTTCCGGGTTTCTGGGATTAGGTTCAAATTTCGAAGTTCAAGGTTCTGGGATCAGGCTCAGATTACAAGGTTCAGGGTTTAGAGGCCTGGTTGCAGGTTCGGGTTCAAGGTTCACAAGCCAGGGCTTGCTACTGTGGGGTTTGGGAGGTGATTTCAGAGTCGACTAAAAACTCACCTGTTATCAGGCTCAGGGGTAAAGATTCACTGTCCCCACCGATTCGTTTCTTTTTTCCTTCCCCATGTCCTCTTTGTGTGTGCAGATCCGAGAAAGAAGAAAGTCCAGCCCCCGTTTCCAACATGCAGAACTCTCGCACCCTCCTCGCCCTGCGCACTGTTGCGGGGCAGCAGGCGTGGGAGAGAGGGTGCAGAAAAGAGGGGGAACGGCGCATGGACGAGACGGACGGTTCCAGTCTTCAGCATCAAAAAGGCTGCTTCTGCTTCAGGAGTTGCAGGCGATGCTGCAGGTGTTGATGGTGGTGATGGTGATGGGCTAGCGGAGGGGAGACGCAAGAGCGGTGGGGCTAAGATCGCCCGTCGCTCTGACCGTCCCTCTTCTGCTGGTGCTGCTGCTGTTGCTGTTGGTGATACTGTCGCTCCTTCTCCCAGTCCCTTGAAACAGCAGGAGGAGCAGCAGAAGGGGCAGCAGTTGCAGCAGCTGGAAGGGGAGGGAGAGAAAGAGGGGCAACAGAATCGCAGGAAGAATGCAACCCCAAAAAGAGGAGGAGTCGCCACAGCTTCTGGTAATGCTTCTGGTGCTGCTGCTGGTGGTTCTGGTGCTGGTTCTGCTCGTCTTCGCTCCGCTCCTGCTGCTGCTGCTGATGCAGCAGCAGCAGCAGCAGCAGCAGCTGCATCAACTGCACCCAACACGACTCTCCCGCCCTTCCGGTTCACATCCAATCAAGAGTGGCGGCATTTGGATTACGGCAACGATCTCACCGCCCTCACCGCAGACGGGCGGCGCGGCCGGAGTGCCGCCCGCACGCTGGGCTTCCGGGGCGGCTGCATTCGTCTGCCAGCGGTGCACCGGCAGATGCTGAGGCGGCTTTTAAGGAGGATGATGTTCCGAGGGGAGGTGGAGCAGGCAGCAGGCGTGCTGGCGGCTCTGATGGATGCGGATAAGGACGCTGAAGTCACAAGACGGGCTGTGGATGAACCAATATGGCTCGAGTCTCAGGTAAGGAGAAACCCCTTGCATTGATCACAGGACGGTAGGGCGTGGAGCAGGCAGCAGGGGTGCTGGCCGCGTTGATGGATGCGGATAAGGATGCTGAGGTGACCAGGAGGGCTGTTGACGAACCCATTTGGCTGGATGGAATCCCAGGTAAGGGAAAACCAGAGTCCCAAGCCCCAAACCAGAGGCTTGAGTTCAGGTCACTAGCACCAGGTGAGGGAAAGGCAGGAGGTGCAGCAGGCGGCAGGCGTGCTGGCGGCTCTGATGGATGCGGGTAAGGATGCTGAGGTGACTCGGAGCGCTGTACATGAACAGATATGGCTGGAATCCCAGGTAAGGAGGAGCCATCCTGAGCTGGAAACTCTGGTTTGAAGTATGCACCTTGAATCATGTTCGAAGGGCTGCAGTGGTTGACTGGACGCTTAAGCAAAGGAACAACAGTGAAAAAATCAAGTGAAAAAAACGCAGATCTGAAAAACCCTTCGCTTCCGAAAAGCCTCCTGAGCTGGAAACACTGGTATGAAGTATGCATGCACATAGACGACTTTTGAGGCGCCTCAAAAGTAAACTCTGGTATGAAGTATGCATGCACATAGACGACTTTTGAGGCGCCTCAAAAGTAAACTCTGGTATGAAGTATGCATGCACATAGCAGGCGTGCTGGCAGCACTGGTGCTGCTGCGATAGTTCTGGCGCAAGGGCTTCAGCAGCTGCAGGGACAGTGCTGCATGTGGGAGGGCAGTCCTGATACTTTTGCCTGTCTGCCTTCCTCTTTTCTTTGATTCCCTCCCCCAGCAAGCGCTCGTTCTGCTGCGAGAGCTGTGGCGCAAGGGCTTCAGCAGCAGAGGCAGTGGGAGCGTTGGTGGTGGTGCTGCTGCTGCTGGTGGTGGTGGTGGCAGCAGCAGCAGCAGCAGTGAGCGGCGGAGGGCAGAGAGGAGGCGACTGGTGGTGTTCATGCGAGCGATAGCTCTCAAGCAAGAGGACGATGTGAGTGGTGATGGGGGGAATATGGCTGCTGGTGCGTATGGGTAGTGTATTATTATGATGATCACGGCTCGGAGAGGAGGCGACTGGTGGTGTTCATGCGGGCGGGCGATAGCTCTGAAGCAAGAGGATGACGTGAGTGAAAGAAGCACTGAGCAGGGCTGTGGTGTGTGGGATGGTGTCAGAGTGAAGGGGGAGTAGGCGTGGTGTGCGCGGGTCCTGCAGTGAGGAGGCGACTGGTGGTGTTCATGCAGGCGGGCGATAGCTCTCAAGCAAGAGGATGACGTGAGTGCACGGGGCAGGGGCAGTGGAGAGAGTGTGAGTGGTGGAGATTTGTGGTTTCTTCTGTGAAGGGATAGATGGTTTGTGTTCATGCAAGCGATAGCTCTCAAGCAAGAGTATGACGTGAGTGGTGACAGGGGGAGGGTTGGTGCGGTGTGCGTGGGTGGAAGTTATAGGATGAATATTGCTTTGAGAGGAGAAGATGGGTGGTGTTCATGCAAGCGAAAGCTCTCAAGAAGGAGGTGAAGAAGAAGGAGGGAAGTAGGTGGTGTGTGTGGGTGGTAGGGATGAGCAAGGTGGCGAACACCTGTTCGGTTCGCCTCGAACGTGTTCGAGGCGAACCGAACAGGTATTTTTTTTTGGCTTAAAATGTTCGCCGAACAGTGTTCGATGTTCGCCCGAACACGTTCGTGTTCGGGCCGCCGCTGCAATTTGCCCGTGACGAACACGAACACTGTTCGAGGTTCGCCCGAACACGCCTTCACAGAGCGAACGGCGAACACCATTTTTTTGCTCAAAGTGTTCGCCGAACCGAACTGTGTTTCGGTTCGGGAAAAGATGATGTTCGAGCGAACTCGAACCCAAACGTGTTCGAGTTCGCCATTTGCTCATCCCTAGTGGGTGGTGTAAGAGAGGTGATGCGTGCAATTATGAGGAGCTGGGTTGTGGTTTGAAGGGGGAAAGCTTGGTTCTGATATAAGGTCCAGGTAGGTACCACTCTCTCAACCTCCCTCTCAATTCACCTTCGTCAACCTCCCTATCACATGCCATTTCCAACGCTCCCCCTTGCCCTCTCAACCTCCCTCAGAGGCGCAAGTGCCAGATGAAGGAGACAAACGAATTCGCTTTCATGCTACCTTGCTGTCAACCTTCCTCAACCTCCTTGCACCTCCCTCAACTTCCCCTCAACTTCCCTCGACTTCCCTCGACTTCCCTCAACTTCCCTCAACTACCCTCAACTTCCCTCAACTTCCCTCAACTTCCATCAACTACCCTCAACTTCCCTCAACTTCCTCAATTCCTAACTTCCCTCACTTCCCTCAACTTCCTCAACTTCCCTCAACTCCCTCACTTCCTCGACTTCCCTCAACTTCCCTCGACTTCCCTCGACTTCCCTCGACTTCCCTCAACTTCCCTCAACTTCCCTCAACTTCCCTCAACTTCCCTCAACTTCCCTCGACTTCCCTCAACTTCCCTCAACTTCCCTCAACTTCCCTTGACTTCCCTCGACTTCCCTCAACTTCCCTCAACTTCCCTCAACTTCCCTTGACTTCCCTCAACTTCCCTCGACTTCCCTCAACTTCCCTCAACTTCCCTCAACTTCCCTCAACTTCCCTCCACTTCCCTCAACTTCCCTCCACTTCCCTCGACTTCCCTCAACTTCCCTCAACTTCCCTCGACTTCCCTCAACTTCCCTCGACTTCCCTCAACTTCCCTCAACTTCCCTCGACTTCCCTCAACTTCCCTCGACTTCCCTCAACTTCCCTCCACTTCCCTCGACTTCCCTCGACTTCCCTCAACTTCCCCTCGACTTCCCCTCGACTTCCCTCGACTTCCCCTTCAACTTCCTCAACTCCCTCGACTTCCCTCAACTTCCCTCAACTTCCTCAACTTCCTCGACTTCCATCGACTTCCCTCAACTTTCCTCACTTCCCTCGACTTCCCTCGACTTCCCTCGACTTCCCTCAACTTTCCCCTCGACTTCCCTCGACTTCCCTCAACTTCCCTCAACTTCCCCTCAACTTCCCTCAACTTCCCTCCACTTCCCTCCACTTCCCTCAACTTCCCTCAACTTCCCTCGCACTTCCCTCAACTTCCCTCAACTTCCCTCAACTTCCCTCAACTTCCCTCAACTTCCCTCCACTTCACCTCAACTTCCCTCAACTTCCCTCCACTTCCCTCAACTTCCCTCAACTTCCTCAACTTCCCTCAACTTTCCCTCGACTTCCCCTCGACTTCCCTCGACTTCCCTCAACTTCCCTCGACTTCCCTCGACTTCCCTCGACTTCCCTCAACTCCCTCGACTTCCCTCGACTTCCCTCGACTTCCCTCGACTTCCCTCAACTTCCCTCAACTTCCCTCGACTTCCCTCAACTTCCCTCAACTTCCCTCGACTTCCCTCAACTTCCCTCAACTTCCCTCGACTTCCCTCAACTTCCTCAACTTTCCTCAACTTCCCTCAACTTCCCTCAACTTTCCTCCACTTCCTCGACTTCCCTCGACTTCCCTCAACTTCCCTCCACTTCCCTCGACTTCCCTCAACTTCCCTCAACTTCCCTCGACTTCCCTCGACTTCCCTCGACTTCCCTCAACTTCCCTCAACTTCCCTCGACTTCCCTCAACTTCCCCTCGACTTCCCTCAACTTCCCTCAACTTCCCTCGACTTCCCTCAACTTCCCTCACTTCCCTCGACTTCCCTCAACTTCCCTCCACTTCCCTCGACTTCCCTCAACTTCCTCGACTTCCCTCAACTTCCCTCAACTTCCCTCAACTTCCCTCGACTTCCCTCAACTTCCCTCGACTTCCCTCAACTTCCCTCAACTTCCCTCGACTTCCCTTAACTTCCCTCAACCTTCCTTACCTCCCTACCACATGCCGTACCGTTTTCCCCGATCAAACGGGCAAGGGGCAGGTGCTGCTGGACCTAGCCAAGTGTCAGATGGAGGACTAACGAGTTCGTGCTCATGCTGGCCTCCCCTCGAACCTCCCTCCACCTTACTCAACCACTCCACAACCCCTCCCTGTTCTCGCACATCTCAAACGCGCAAGCGGCAGGTGCTGCTGGACCTAGCCAAGTGTCACAAGGAGACCAACGAGTTTGTGTCGGTGCTGCCTTACCCTCAACCGCTCTCAACCTCCGTTCCTACCATTCGTCACACAAAGAAGACGAACTCCCCTTTCCCTCCAACCTCGCTCAACCTCACTCCACCACTCCACACCCCCTTTCTGCTCCGGGCAGATGCTGTAGAGTGCCACATGGAGACCAATGTGTTTGTTTCAGTGCTCCCTCAACCTCCCTCAACCTCCCTCAACCTCCGTCAACCTCCCCAACCTCGCTCAACCTCGCTCGCTACCACGTGTCATGCCTTTCCCTCTCCCACACCTCAGAGGCGCAAGGGGCAGATGCTGCTAGATCCAGCCAAGTGCCACATGGGCACCAGCGAGTTCGATGCTGCCTTCCCTTCGAACCTCCCTCAACCTCACTCAACCACTCCATAACCCATCCATGTTCCCCGTATCAGATGCGCAAGGAGCACATGCTGCTGGATCTAGCCAAGTGCCAGATGGAGACCAGCGAGTTCGATGCTGCCTTTTCCTCAACCACTCTCAACCACTCCACAACCCCCCCCTCCCTTTCTTATCAGAGGCGCAAGGAGCAGATGCTGCTGGACCTCGCCAAGTGCCAGATGGAGACCAGCGAGTTTGATGCTGCGTTCCAATCAACCTCTCTCAACCTCCCTCAACCTCTCTCCTTACCACGTGCCATACTCCTTGTTCCCCCCCTATCAGAGGCGCAAGGGGCAGATGCTACTAGACCTAGCCAAGTGCCAAATGGAGACCAACGAGTTCGACGCTGCCTTCCAAACGCTGCAAACGTGAGCTCCCTTCCATTTCCAAGGTGCTTATACAAATCCTCGAAAACCCTGCGTTAGGAGATGATTCGGGATTTGGTTAGGGGAATATGGATGCTATGCTGGTGGGACGGAGGCCCTGGTCTGGTCAGTCCGTCCCTTCCTCTCGATCTTCAGACATAATTCTGAGGGAGCAGCAGTCCTGGTGCTAGGGGAATAGTACTCGCTGTGTCTTACAACCTCTGGGCCTCGCTGTGTTACGGGAATATGGATGCTATGCTGGGTGGGACCGGAGGCCCTGGTCTGGTCAGTCCTTCCCTTTAATAGTGCTCCCCTCCCCCGTCCCCCACTCCCTCTGTCTGTGCAGTGTGGTGTGGTGAACCTAGAGGTAACCCTTCCCTCAACTTTAACATTTTTAGTGTAGTTTGCAGTTTGTGCGGGTTGGGTATTACCAACATCCCAACCAACCTCACCCAAATGTGATCAACCGAAATCTCCAACCCACCAATTGGAGATTTCACCCGGTCTCATTGGGGTTGGAATTGCCCCCGATTTGCCACCCATCCATCTCTTGTCCATTTCCGATGTACTTAAGTTAAGGGACTTGATCTCATGAATCATGACCTGCACTCCCACTGGCTCTCCCGTTCTTGCTCCCTGCCACTCCCCCTGTCCGTGCAGGGTGGTCAACCTCCCCCCCTATCGCTCCGACCCCTCTCCTCTCCTCTTCTGCGCGCTCATCCAGTACTCCCACTGGCTCTCTGCCGCCCAGAAGGACCTCCTGCAGCTGCCCTCCACCTCGCATACCCACCACGGCTTCAATTCAGACATGGATGGAATGGATGATGGGGAGAGGGACAATCATGGGCGGATGGATGGAGCGACGGATGGGGGCATGCATGGGGATATGGATGTGGATATGGGTGATGGGGATTGTGATGGTGATGGTGATCGTGGCGCTGACGTGGAGGTTCCTGAGCTGGCGCTGCTGGACCAATGGGAGAGGAGGAAGAGGAGGAGGGAGCAACAGGAGGGTGGGTCAAAGGGGAGTAGTTTTGGAGGGGGAAGGGGCAAGAGGCGAGGGTACATTAGGGGGAATAGGAGGAAGGGAGGAGGACGAAGAAGAAGAAGAGGAGGAGGAGGGGGATGGGTGGATCGAGCAGGAGTTGATGCGTTTTGGTGGTTACGACGATAACGACGGCGGTTGTTACGCCGTTACAGGCTCGAATATCACTGAAATGGCATCGGAAGGAGAGGCATACACTGCTGGTTTCTGGAATCTTTCTAGTGGAGAACCCTTTTCCCCCCAACTTCCCCCCCATCCTCCTCCAAGGCCTCTGCCCCTCAACCCTCCCTTCGTGCTAGACTGTACTTTAGAGGAAGCGTGGGAAGCAAGCAGAGAGGAGGCAAGCAGTGGGGTTCTGGCTGCGAGCCTGTGTAAGGCGTTTTGGGAAGGGGGTGAAGGTGATGGCAGGGGGGAGAGAGCGAGGCAGGGGGATGGGGAGGAGGATGGGGAGGAGGAGGAGGAAGAGGGGGAGGAGGAGTGTGGAAGGGGAGGGAGAAGAGGAGGAGGATGGGGGAGGAGGGGGGAGAGGAGGAAGGAGGGTGGTGGAGGAGACGTTTGCTTGGAGAGTGTGGAAGAAGGGAGGAGGGGAGGGCGGAAGAATGGGTGGAGTGAGGGAGGCAATGGAGGGGAGTGGGGAGAGTGGCTGGATGGGAGGAGGAGGTGGGAAGAGAGAGAAGCAGGAGGGGGAGGAAAGGCTCCAAGATTACGTTGTGCCATGGAAATATGGTGCGTGTCGGGAACTTTTTCTCGAGTCATGTCTCTTGCTCGTTTTGTGTGGCCACTTGTTTCCGTCCCTCCCCTCTTGCTGTCCGTCCCTCTCCTTCCACCCACTCCCTCGCTTTGTTGCACCCTCTATTTTCTCCCTTCACACAGTATGATTCGTCTCTCTGTCACCCGTTTCTATCTTTCTGCATCCACCACCGTTTTCTATCTGCTCGTCCTCGATACCTCTCACCCCCCTCCTTTCCCCTTTTCCCCCATCCCCCTGCACTTCTCTTTCTCCCTCATTTTTTTCCGTTCTCACACCGTCTCGTCTTTTTCTCTTATCCTCTCCATCCCCTCCTTCCCTCCACTTTCCCCCCACCCCCACAAACGCAGATCTTGACCCGCTCATCTGCCCCCTCATCCTCCCACCTCCTCCCTCCCCCCTCCACCCATTCCGCCTGCCTCCCTCTCTCCCGTCGCTCCCTCGAGCTATCCCGGGAAGCGGCTTCTTTCCTCCTGCGCACACTGCAAGCCGACCCCCTCTGCATCCCGGCCCTTAGTGCCACTAGTGCAGGTGAGCTTCTTCCTACCTCCCCCCGCCACCCCATTCCGCCTGCCTCCTCTCTCTCGCCGCTCCCTTGCTCTCTCGCAAGGTAGCATCCTTCCTCCTGCACACACTGCAAGCCGACCCCCCTCTGCATCCCAGCCTTAGTGCCTCTAGTGCAGGTAAGCTCCTCCTATGTCCCATTCTCCCCACCTACCCTACCACGCCGCACTCCGCCTCCCTCAAGCTCTCGGAGGACGTGTTTTGAGTCGAGTCTCCCGGGGAAGCAGCATCCGCACACTGCAAGCCGATCCCCTTTGCATCCCATCCCTCGTGCCTCTAGTTCAGGTAAGCTTCTCCCTGAACCCCATCCCTCTCCTCCTCCACCCCACCCCATTCCGCCTGCCTCCTCTCTCCCGTTGCTCCCTCGAGCTCTTCCAAGAGTCTGCCTCCTTCCTCCTGCACACACTGCAAGCCGATCCCCTCTGCATCCCGGCTCTAGTGCCCCTCGTTCACCTGCATGCCTCTAGAGCAGATATGCCCCAACTGTACCCCATTTCCTGCCTTGCACTTATCCCTTCTTCTCCGTTTTTTCCTTCCAACCCCATTTCCTGCCTTGCAGATTCGTGTACCTCAGGGTTACAGAGGAGTGAGAGCGGCTCTTGACATCCTTCTCCTCTCCTGCATCCTCCTGATCTCACTTATCTTTCCCCTCCCCTCCTGTCTCCTCGCCCTCTTCTCTCACTCCCTCTCTGCAGATTCTCGTGGCCCAGGGCCCCAGAGGAGTGGGAGTGGCCCTTGACATTCTTCACCGCTCGTGCCTGCCTGCCCTGTCACTGATATCTCACTGTCTCTCGCCCCACTCCCTTGCTGCTGATTCTCGTATCCGTCCCTTTCTTTCTGACACAGATTCTTGCGGCCCCAGGGCACCAGAGGAGTGAGAGGGCTCTGGACATTCTGCACCGCTCGTGCCTGCCTGCTGTTGCACGCTCCATCCATCCATTCAGGTACTACTCAGGGCTTAGTCCTGCACTCAGGGCATGGTTTAGTGCAGAACTTATGGCTAAGTTGGTAACTTCAGTAACCTTTTTCAGTATTTCAAATGCCTAAATGACCACTTGTATTATTTTACCTTCCACATTAAAAATGAAAATAAAAAAGGGTCGTATAGTATTTCTCACTCTTCTTCCTCCGTCCTCTCCCCCTGTCATGTAATTTTCTTCCCATATGCCTCTTTCCCTTCCCTCTGCCTTGCTGCTTTCCTTCCCGTGCGCTTATCCATCTTCCCCCTTCCTCCCTGCTCTCCGGATCCGCGCCTTGCTGCTTGAGTGCGTGCAGCTTCAGGACTCTCGAACTTCCACATGTGCATTCCACCCACTCCCTTCCCCTGCTCATTTGCTTTTTTCCCTCCCATGTGCGTCTTCCCTTACCTCTTACTGTCTCTCTTTCCCTCCCTGCTCTCAGGATCCGCGCCTTGCTGCTACAGTGCGTCCAACTTCAGGAATCCCCCCTACCCCCATCCTCCTCTCACTCCCTCACTCACTCTCTCACTCACTCCCTCACTCTACTGCAATGTCATTTGGAGGTCCTTCGGCTGATGCCCTCCTGTGCCCATGCCATGCGAGGCGTGCTGTCTCTGGGTCTACAAGGTGAGAAGCAGGTGAAGGGAGTGAGGGAGGGAGTGAGGGAGGGAGTGAGAGAGAGAGTGAGGGAGGGAGTGGAGGGAGCGAGGGAGGGAGTGAAGGAGAGAGGGGGAGGGTTAAGGTCCTTCGGCTGATGCCCTCCTGTGC